ACACCCCACAATGATTCCGTTCTAGCAGGACAGCCAGCTGTGGGGGGAAATAACGGCCGTTCACAGAAAGTCTGGACGACGCAAACCGCCTCAAGATACGGCCACAAGGCTGAACAAGGGCTTTGTCACAAACTGTCAGATCTATGACAGTGGTCAGTGGTGAATAGATGCTACTGTTACTTTCGTTACTGTACTATTATATATCGATTGCATATTTTTGCTATTTACCATATTTCCTTGCGTCTCTCCAGGAAGCCTCACACGACATGGCTGAGAAGCTGAGGTTCCAAGCTCTGCCGGGGACGCTGCACTTCTTGGCGTCGACCTGTGACGTGCCAGCGCAGCGCATGGAGCGGCTGCTGCGTGCGCTGGTGGAGCTGCGCATGGTGGAGCCGCCGGGAGACGGCGCCCGGAAATGGCGATTGACGGAGCGGGGAGAGCTTTTGACAGAAGGAGTGAAGGGCGGAACGGGGGAATGATGGGTTCTCGTGGGTCTGAGCATATTGACATATTGACTAGTAAACAGTGGAGCTGATGGGGGGAAGCAACATGGAGGTGATTCTGCAGGGAGTTGGGAGGATCAAGGTGATTTCCCAGGCGTCATTTTCTCACAAGATCATCCATTTCGGGATGGTGGGATACGTATCCATTTGGGTGCAGTGCCTGGTGATTCAACTCAAGGATAGGTCCCAAAACAACAGCCTCCCTCTCCAAGCAAGCTCTTTCCGATAAGAACACCCGCGAAGGTAGCCGCTTAGCCTGGTATGCAACATACTGGTTGCCGTTCACTGCAGTCACCGGGTTTTGGCCCGACATGTACTGCGGGCATAGCTTGAAGACGCATCCGCATGGAACGCACAGTGCAGGTCCTAGTGGATTTGGTGGGCAATTTCCCAAGTAATCCACCGTATCACCCGGCACGGACCGTACAGCTCCCCAGCTCCCAATCGACCCTCTGATTTGATGCGCCTGCTCTTGACAAGATGTAGCGGCTACGTCCGACAAGATGTCGCGCTCAAGTAGTGTCACTGATCCATACAATTAGATGTCCTGAGTTAAGTAATTAGGTAATTTCTTGCCGCACTCACTGTCAATTCACACATTCAGGGTCTTACACCATAGGAAGTCACACCATGAGACACCGTGTGCATCAACATGCCGTTTTGCACGCATGTAGTGCTTCACGTTTGTCACCACATGTTACAGACCCTCTGGAACCCCCCGTCATCATTTCTGGAAGCTGACGCGGCCCACAAGCCTGAGAACAGTGAAGGTCGCTTTTTCTCCACTCAGTTTACTAGTAACAAGGGCATTTCTACTAGTAGCAAGAAGCTACTTAGTAGCTCCTGGCCTTACTAGCAAGAAGCTACCAGTAACAAGGGTAGGTTCTCCGGTGGGAAGCCCCGTGTTCTTCTCCTTTGCCTTGTCCAGGCCTTGTCTGGGTCTGCTTATCCTGCTGGGCCGCGTTGTCAGCCCTTTTATCGCCTCGTCGTCCGAGCCTTGTCCGGCTTCCCTTTTCCACCGCCTTGTCCGTGTGTGTTTTTCTGTCGCTGTGAGTGCAACAGTGATACAGTGTTTCGAGTTTGATAACGTCCGCAGATTTTCTCTTGACATCATATGTCCCCTCGCTTTTGCACATGTGATCCAGGAATCAGGAACAATAGGAATATAGTTGCTATATTCAGAAACTTCTATGCTGATGCTGGTATAATTTATGGTTTCTGCCGCCCCCGTTTCTGACCTTCCACAGAGCTGTATTGCCTCCGTCTGCAGAACATCCTTGGACGTTGGCAGATGCTGCTCTGGAATATGGACGTGACTTGACGAAGTTCTGGTGCGAGCTCCCGCAGCGCCTCCGCGATCCGGAAGAGTCCGAGCCCGACATTTTCAACGAGGCGAGGGTCGCCCAACCCGTCGCTGGTGCCCGAGCCCTCGCCGCTTCGGCCCCGAACACTCCCACCCCTCCATGGGGCTCTCCGGATCTAAACGTCGACTGTTTTGGAAGGGTTTTGGGTAGGAAGTCCGAAGTGGTTCATCAAAGAAGACCTGTTTTGTATTGGCAAACAAGCAAAGACAGATAGATTTGATGCGAAGCTTGTGCAGCTTGTGCTGTTGCAGGTGGTCCAGTCGCCCCGTCGGTGCCAGCGCCACCATCGCATGCTTCGGAGCTATGCGCGCCACGACTATGTGGAGCTGCCAAGGATGGAGACGTAGGAAACACCATGTGCAGGTGGAAAGAATGGGTTTCACATAGTTTCACCATTTTTCAAGACAGTTTCTATCTTGGGGATTCACTCTAGGGGAAGCTCCAACTTTGGAGCTTTTTTCGGGTGTCAAGGGGGAAAAGAACTGCAGGTGTCCTTTTTCTTCAGTCGCCCTCAAAAAGTTTGGCTTTTAGTTTTGGAAGTTTTCACTGTCGACTGAAAATAATCATAAAATTTGTCAGACTGTCTGTGCAGGATTTTGGATTCGGTCGGGTTGGGTGCCACGATGGAACCTGTTGTTCTGGATGTGGGCGGAGGCACAGGGACTCTGGCAAAGCTCATCTTGGAGCATTTGCAGAAGAGCCATCCTGAGGCAGGTCCAGAGGTTTCACAGAATTCGTCTCGTTGGAGATGTGACATCCGCTCTTCATGTCACTCTTTTTTGATTTGTAGACATCTCTTGGGTTTGACAGAAGAGCTATGCTTTGCCACACCCTGAGGTGCAGGTCTTGGTGCTTGATTTGCCAGAGGTTCTTGCCCAGATCGAGCCCTCCGCCGGACTTTGGCTGTGTGAAGGCGACTTGCGAAGCGAGTGGACAGTGCCTTGCTTGGATGGAAAGGCTCCTGGCGATCTTGGTGTGGTTCAACTCTGGGTCAACCTTCCTTTTCCGAGTTTGGGGTATATAGATTAAGATACTGGTGGGCTTTGTTTAGCTTAATAGTTCTCCTGGTTCCCTACTTTTACAGAGCGCTTGGCATACTAAATACCTAAGTCGCATCGTTTTTTGGCAGATGTGATTCACGGTACAGGCCTTTTTTCCTTGTTGATGCAGCCTTGCTTCGCTAGTCAGGTGCCAGCGGTGCCTTCCATGGTGGTCATGGCTCGTGTTCTGCATGACTTCCATGACAGTGCTGCTCTGGAGATCTTAAGCAATGCCTTCCAAACTTTGAAGCCAGGAGGGCATCTTATTATAGTGGAGCCCCTTGGTGGACGCGTCGCTGCTTTCTTTCTGCCGTACTGGCGCTGTGTGGAGTTGTGGAGAAAAACTGTTGTACTGGTATACATGGGAGCGTCCTTGTGCTCCACACGTAATGTAGCTCTTTCAATACGTGCAATTTCGTGTAAGTTTTCTTTTCGGTATACAAGCACTTGGGGTGACTGGGAATGTGCGCGTTGATGGGCGAGGTTCGTTCTTCAAGATGATGGTGGATCTTCTGGTGGCTTATGTGACCTTCACTTGCTAGCTGTGACTGGGGGCCGTGAAAGAACGGCGAAAGAATTGCATTTGTTGGTGGAAGCAGCAGGATTTGTAAACTTGGAATGGCACGACATGGTGTCACTTCCAAGTGTCCTTGCAGCAGAGAAGCCAACATGAGAGATTGCACACCGAACATCACAGTCCGACTGTGATGTTTGCGGATAATGAAGACCAGTCCAGTGTGGGCCTTGGCAAAGGGGTGAGAGGAGTTAGATTCTTTTTACGACAGTCCTGCCCTTATTGACACATCAACCGGCAGTCCTGCCCTCATGTCTTGCCTTCATGGCTTGGCTCAAGCCTACAAAGCCATGATTGGTACAGGCTCTTTGGCACATCCAAGAAAACAGCAAAGGGAATCATTTGGGATGGTGAGCCCACTTGATTGAATTCATTGCAACATTTGTCCCACCTTTGTAGCATCTTGGAAGCATCTTGACATGCTTCCTGCTGCTTGCATCAAGCCGCAGCCCCAGTGAGCTTCTAGTGAGCTTCTATCTTGCAGACGCCCCATGTAGCACATCTAACAGCGTGCTCAAAGTGAATGTCATGACATTGACAGGTTATGACTGACAGATGAGGGTTGTTTGATTGCCTCAAGAACTGTTGGCAAAGTCGCATTGGACGCATTGGTGTTACTTCTTCACCCGAACCGAAGGCCGCACCTCCAAGTCTGGTCGACCAAACCGAAACGGGCCACCGGCAAAGCACGGCTTCTGCGGGGCGCTTGGACCACGCCCGTCACTGCTTTGGTGGGCGTTGCAGGGAGCCTGGCGGACCAACGACGGGTGAGGAGGGCTGCGGCCGCTGCGGCCTGTGCTACACGAGGGTTGGGAGGATTGCAGGGCCCCAACCATCGATAGGGGGGTATGTTTGCAAGTTTTCCAAGGAACTTATTCGAGGCACTTAGCTTGTTCTCATGTTGATGCGGGAATCACGGCTTGTTGTGGAGGAAGCCGAGGACGAATCCTGGTAACTGGCGGCTGCGGCTACATTGGGTCGCATACCGTGCTAGAGCTCTTGGAAGCCAAGTTCGAGGCAGACGGCGAACAAATATGGGAGCAGATACAGAGTGAACATTTGTTACTAGCTTCTTGTTACTAGTAGCGATGCACTTGCTACTAGTAGCGATGCACTCGTTACTAACGTCATTCACCCTGTTTGGTAAGTTACAACGATTCCGCCTCCGTGCCGGGTCTCCCATCGGTAGGGCAAGGACACAAGGACTCGGCGCTCGATCAGCTCATGTTGAGCGAATGGTCGGCGCTGTTGCAGTCACTGTTGCAGTCAGTTGCAGTCAACATGTGTGGAACATGCTGAAGCCTTTGATCATGCATCAACATAGGCCTGGCCTGCTGGGGCTGCAGGGGAACACACATTATATAGAGATGATGTCATGCGCTCCTTCCTTTTGAAGATGGAGGGCCTGACACCTTGTGCACACCGAAGGTCTTGATCTTGGACAACCTGTGCCGCAGCGATTCAGCGTGCCTGCATCGGGTTTTGCGCCTGGCAGCTGAGCATTTGCATGTGGAGGTCGACGAGTTGCGGGGTCACCTGAGGCTGAAGAAAGTTGACCTATGTGATGAAGAGAGCTTGGAGGCAGAATTTTAGATGTTTAGTAAAACGCAACAAATACCACATTTTTGTGTTTTCCCTTATGATTCAAGTGACATTTTTGGACAATGTTTTGTGCTGAAACAGATCCCTTGAAGCTGAAAGCGGTCAAACCCTGGATGCAAGCCAATATTGGACACTGAAACAAATCAATAGGTAGGTCCCATTTTCAACTGCTTAGGCGTTGCTCAAGAACAGTTCAAGTAGTGAACCTATCCATTCCCAAGCAAATCTCCCGAGCTGAGATTGTCACAAAACGTTGGGCTCATGGGATCTCATGGGGTCATGGGGTCTCTTCTTCCGCGTGCACTGCGGACCCCGCGGACCCCGCGACGCTCCACGCGGGTCGCGGTCGTAGGCTGCTTTGAAGTTCGAGTCGTTTCGAGCGGTGATCCACCTGGCGGGCTTCAAGTCAGTGGGCGAGTCGATGCGGGAACCCTTGAGGTGTGCGACGAGTCCGCGGTGTCCGTGACGTGAGAGTTGAAGAAACATCTGAGAGTCGTATGTCTAAAAGGCAAATATATAGCTTCTACTTTCTAGTAGCAAGAATGCTCCTAGGAGTAAGGAGGAGCTATTAGTAGCATCCTTGCTCCTAGTAGCGATGCCCTTTGCTCCTAGTAGCTTCGCTTATGCTGCGAGGTATTATGAGAACAACGTGGTGGGCCTTTTGAACCTGGTGAAAGTTTTGAAAAGGCACCACGTGAGCAAGTCCTTAGTGCTTTCGAGCTCCTGCACAGTGTATCGCCCCTCTGATGCAAAGATCTCGGAAGATTCGCTGCTGGAGCCGACGTGCCCCTATGGGAATACGAAGCATCTCGACTGGCACTACTGTATCGGCATGAAGCAGCTAGAACTTAGGTAAACCTAATGATGAATGGGAACATGGTCATGATTCATGGTTTTGACATGTTGCACCCTAAAACAATCCATAGCAACTTGAGAATCAACGTAATAATACTCCCACAATTGTGTATGTACAAAAGAGTGTATATCTTACTGTTCCTTTACTACATTGACGATGTGCTGCAGTTGGGGGAGGTGTCTTAGAGGGCTTGGGGAGAAGGTGAGGGTGGATTGGAGGGAGGTGGCCAAATTCTGTCAGGCTGAAGTGCACGCCACGAACCAGGTTGGACCGACATGTCCATCTCCTGCGCGAACCATTCAGCATGGCTCGGGCCTTCCGGCGATGTCGAAAGTGCGATCTGACGCAACCGATCTCGATCTTCATACTTTTGTTGCTCAGCGATCTGTTGACCGTATCAAACGTGTTGTTGTTGGATGCCGTTGGTTTCATGTGCGTGTGGTGCGATAGACCCGTTTTGAACAACGCAAATCCGGAAAGATGAGTACCCGCTGGACGACCTTGTTTGCAAGCCCTACAAGCTTGCCTTTTGTAAGACAAACGGACACAAGCACGAAGAATGGCTGTTGGCGCGAGTGCATATCTGTGTGACTATTGCGCAATGCACATGATCCTTCTCAATCCTATAGAAGCGGCTGCAGGTTGCTTAGGTCCCACATCCACAAGCCAATTCTGCTCTCATTGCAACTATAGAAATACAAGCCTTGTTGATCCATACCTCAATTCTCCCGCGTGATTTGCGATGCGCTCTTGCCACGATTTCATGAACGTCGACGATGGGGTGACCCGTCGATGAAGTCGAGGTAGAAGTGGTGTCAACAAGTCCCCCCGTTGTCCCGTGGTCCCTGTGGCGTTTCAAGTCTAGTTCGATTGACGTTTGAAACTTGCGCAACAAGCCGGACACGTTGTGTTGTTTCTGTGGAATGGCTGGGGTCAGAAAATGCATGAACAAGGCCACACGTGCAAGAGAACATACAAGTACTTGTGATATTTGCGTGCACACCAAGATGACATGTTTGTACTTGTGTCAAGTGCTCTTTTTCTCACTGAAAAAGTGTGTCCGTGAGGCGTGTGCAAGAAAGTATGCTACAAGATTTGGTGGAATCAGATGGTTGGACTGTATCTTGCTTAAGATATTTCAACCCAGCAGGTGCTCATTCCAGTGGCTCTCTGGGCGAAGTCCTTTATCCCTCCTCGCCGTTGATGCTCGTCCCACTGCTGCGGCAAGTGGCTCTGGGACAGCGGAAAGAATTGAAGATCTTTGGGGATGACTATGACACGAAAGATGGCACAGCCATGAGGGATTACATCCACATTCAGGATCTTGCAGATGCTCACGTGGCAGCACTGCAGCACTTACTAGCCGGAGAAGCAGCATTTCATGTTTTCAACCTGGGTACTGGGTTTGGCAGAAGCGTCCTTGAGGTTCTCCAAGCGTATCAAGATGCTTCTGGGTGTGAGCTGCAGTACAAAATTGAACAGCGGCGTGCTGGAGATGCTGCAGTTGCAGTGGCAGACTCAAAATTAGCAAATGACTTGCTGGGATGGTATGCCCATAGGGGTTTTGAAGAGATTATGGCCTCCGATTGGACATTTGCTCTTCATACAAAAGGCAACGATTCGCTGTACAATGAGTCTTGTTTCATATCTCAGCATCTAGTTCCTGAGCCATATGAGGTGGGAAATGTGTACCGGGCAATGGTGAAGGAGATTCAAAAAGCCTCAAAGCAGGTTGGGAGCATGAGCATTCATTCTTGGTCACCAGCATTGGACACTACCCAGTATGTCATTGACCTTGGCGGCACATACTTGAGGGCTTTCAAGCTTGGACCAGATGGATATTTAAAGCTCGGGCCAGTAAAGGTGCCGGAACAGTTGAAGCTGAAGAGCACCTCAGCGAGAGATCTGTTTGATTTCATGGCTTCAGCTGTGGCCAAGTTTTTCCAGCCCATGGACATCGGCGGGGAGCAGTTGTGCCTCGTTTTCTCCTTCGCTCTTGAATCGGAGAACGACGGAGTGACGCGAATGAGGCGCTGGGCAAAGGATTGGGCGACCAGTGGAGTAGAAGGGGCAAATTTGACGGAACTGATGGATTTAGCGCTGAAGCGACAGAAGCTTCCATTGCGAGTTAGCCGTGTGATGAACGACTGCATCAGCAGCGTCTTTGCACTGGGAGCTATAAGGACTTCCAGTGGGCCGAATGTGGCGGATGCTGCAGTCGTGGTGGGCACGGGCACCAATGCATGCTATGTTGATCGTTCCGGAAAGAGTGTGTTCTCAACAGAGTGGGCAGGCTTCAGGAAAGGACTTCCGAGTACGGCCGCAGATGTGGAACTGCACGGTGATGAGCTGACTTTAGAAAAAATGGTCTCGGGCTTATATTTGCCTCGCATAGTGGAACAGCTGTGCCCAGATGCTGGCAGCCTGAGCATGAAGGATCTGGTGAAGGCCCTTGAAGGGCCAGAAACTCCAATGAAGACCTCAGCCCAGTTTGTCATCAGACGCTCAGCCTACCTTTGTGCACAGGCCCTGGCCGCGCTGATTGAGGTTGCCGCAAGGGGCAAGCCAGATGGTGAAGTGTTTCATGTGCTTCTGGATGGTGGCCTTTTCCATTGTGTCCCCATTTACAGAGCACAGTTCGAGTACTTCCTTGCAAAGCGCCAAGCATTGCTGCCAGTTCCAGTGAAGCTTCATTTGCTCAAGGACGCTGCTTCAATTGGTGCAGCGCATGCTGGACAGCTATGGAAGCCTGGACAAGCTGCAGACTAGCTGTGGATCGAATTGAACTTGTTTCAATGGAACCCGGAACCCTGGGTCTGTCATTTTTGGAGTGGAGCTCTTGGAGCTGGCGGAAAAAGAGATGTTTTGAGTCTGAGATGTTTTTAACTTTCTCTCTGGTAAACAGGTAAACGCGTCATCGTGCCATGCACGGCCCCGGTTCTTGGTAGTTGCTTTCTAGCCACAGAGGTGGGGTTTGCGTAGTATTATCAAGAGAGTGCAAGGGATAGAGATCCCACCGCCAGGAAGAGTGAATTTGGATTTGGCATGCCGGTATTTGGCTCAAAGCTTTTAATATTTTGGCCGTGCGAGCAAAACAGCTCTATCTTGGGCCGATTGTGTTATTTCTTCAATCGTTTCCAATTTTCTTTGAGTGTGGCTTGTCTCCAAGGTGCTGGGAAAGACGTGCGACGTTGTTTTGTAGCCTTTGGAGTGTATTGTTGGTTGGCTAGCGTGACAGTCGTTGGCGATAGATCCGATACAAGGAGTACTGTATTATTTTTTGCATTGCTGGCAACCCCCACCCAATACGCAGAGTTCTTTCAGTCTCTTCAAAACATGTTATATAAGTAACCATGCACCTGAAACAATCCATGGTTTCCTAAGGATGGCACCTTCTTCCCGATCTGCGGCAGCCGCAGCAGGCGTACAAACTATACAAACGAGCTCGCAAGTTCTCACAAGGTTTTTAAGAAGAGCAAGAACAAGAACATGTAGAACATTTTGCAACAACAGATATGTGCAACAACAGCAACAACAGTATTATCTTCAACAACCGCATCCGTCACCGCCATCCCCACCACACTTGCAAACACAACAGCAGCAGCAACAATAGCAACAACAACAACAGCAGCAACAACAGCAACAATCGACCCCGCATTGATTTCGCCAGAAACGCCCATTTCATTGAAAGCCAAGAGGGATATGGTCGCGTTCGTCTCAGTCATTATATAGCTTGACACTGGTATTCCTTGAAGTGTAAATACCATGCAACGATGCAAGCACTTTGCAGAATACAACGGTTGTTGGAATCTTCATGGAAAGCAAAGACACTGAACGTTTAGTCTCACTGATTGGCCTGTTGCCTAGAGACCAGGCGCTGCAGCTCTAGTTGCTGGCACCACCTTTGTTTCAGCCCCTGCTACAACCAATCTTCGCGCCATGAGCCCAGAGTATCGGAGTGAGCATATGGATCATGGTCCACTGGTCCACTGCAGGACTAAACCTGACAAGTCCAACCCACAAGGCTGTGACCATGTTTTTGATGATTTCGTGTTGTTTGATTGGTGTTGTAGTGTTGACCTCTGAAGCATTACCAACCATTGGGCCTGCTCACCCCAATAGAGCCACAGCTGCAAAGAAGACACAGAGGGTGCCCGAAAGAATTCCTTGAAGCTGTGGAAGTATTGGTGCCCGAAAATGCTTCATATGCATCATGCATCCTACAAAAAGATTAGGTGAAACTTTTCTCTCAATCCCCTGCAAGAAGATGTCCTGGTTTCACCTCTTCATATCTTTCACACTGAACACTCAGAACTCAGAACGTTGAAGACGTTGAAATCTTCGGCCTCGACGGTCCGGAAGGGAGTTCCCCAAAACACCGAGGCCACCGCTGGATACTCCGCGGCCTCGGCGCCGTCCACACCGCAGGTGCTGAGTACGGTTCAGTCGCCGTTCGTGACGGGGTGCGGCGAGGGTGGCTTTTTGGGGCCTACTGAGTCCCTTATTGGGCAGCGTTGCATATTATCATATATATTATTATAATATATTGAAAAATATGATACAATCTAACATATATATATAATATACAATATATTACACTTCATATATAATATAATACAATGTAATGTAATGTCAATGTCAATGTCAATGTCAATGTAATGTAATGTAATGTAAACAATATAGTATAATATAGTATAATAAAATCGCACAATGAACACCAGGGAGTATCTAAGTATTTTTTTACATGGACGGATTTCGGAAGTTTGCCTTCTACCAGAGACCAGAACGGGAGATGCTTTGGGGTTTTGCAGACAAGTCATCCCTTCACTTCCAGGGAGCGGATGAAGAGACTTGTTTTGATGATTTGTGGTGGAACGGACGAAGGATATATTTCCACGGAATTTTATGCCTGATTGGAACAAGTTCTGCAGTGTGTCTTCCTTCATGTGTCTCTCATTCCCAAAGATACAGTTTCTTGGATTCCGTGCCTCCCACGGAGCACCGGGCGAGGCTGCCTCCGGCCGAACCGCCGCGTTGGCAGTGGCGGGCGCAGCATTTGCAGCTCTCACGGCCAGCGGCCGGAAGGCTGGCTGAAACAGCAAAACCATTTTTGTTGGATCCATGAAAGCTAAGACAGTCTGAGCGACTGTGGCTCTGCCGAAGACTGAGGCTCTGTTTTTCCTGTATCGCAAGAGATCACATGACTTGCTTGCTTTGGCTTGGCGTTCAAAGGGCAACATCAGACATGTGTGCATGCTTCGTGAGGCACTTGGTAGCATCAAGCCGCAGCTGGTGCGCCACGGGATGGCATTTGCCGAGAAATACCATCCGCAGAGATATTTCCTGATGTTCTGCTTAGGGAACACAATGAACATACTTGATTTGGTCC